AACTCAATGGTAATTATTTAAACCGTTGCATATATTAGCAGCGACATATGAATCAAGATGCTATGACCAAAAAAATTGATTGACAGATGACCTTTGATATATGATTGGCCGAATTTAGATGTTCAGGCTGACGTAGAACTAACCGGCCTGCATAAGATAATGGAAAAAAAAAATACAGATTTTAAGACAGATTTTTTTTATAGAAATTTTCAAAATTTGGGACAATATGGTCTGATAAAGAGTACATTTATATACATGTTTAAGCCATAATAATTTGACATTTAAAGTATGACTTCCCTACGATTTTAAACAATCATTCCAGCCACTAAATAAAGTAAACATTCCCACTGTTATATTCATTACCAGCACAGGAATTGATGTGATGTTCTGCAATAACTTTACATTCTGAAAAGAACAAAGCACTGTTTGCTCGGACTGGTTACATCTTCGGCCAAAATTAGAAATAAATATATCTTTAGAACCAAAGCAGCACAAATGACAGTTTTACCTGAAAAAAATCTGCACTGAAGTAGCTTTAAAGAAGTAGACCAGTTTGGTTTAATTCAGAGCTTAATGGGAGGATGGTTGACCTCTGGATCACCTAATAAATAACTTTTAACGTATACGAAAAAAAGGAGCCCAAATTACCATTTAAATGCACAATCCTGCGTTAAAGAAGCGCTACTATTCAGTCTATTTGCTGAGTTTTTCTCATTTGGGAGGGATTTCAGCTTCACGCAGCTGAAGCTCCTCCTATCCAATGACACGCGGTGAACTCCTTGCGGTGCTCATGGAAATCACCTCGACGCCGCATTCGGTCTGATTGCACCCAAAGGAAAAGCGCTTCAGTATCCTGGAGATATAAGTCTTGATTCTATGGTCAATAAACAAACTTAAACCACAGTGAATTATTTGGTTTCACAAAAGAATTTCCTTTATAGTCTTTTGAATAAAATCAAAGATAAAACAAAGATCTGCTTTGGAAGATTATTTCAATATATATATCAGATAAAGTGCATAATCTTTGACATATTTAAATTGAAATGATCAGTTTTAATCTAGAATTTCAGTAAAACTATTAACAGTAACAAAAAATTCAGAAAGGTGCAAGGGACCAATCAGTTGTGGTGTCTGTTAGTACATATCATCATAGTAAATTTATTTAGTGTTATGTCTTCAGACCAGGGCCAAGGACCCGTTCTACGGGATACTGGCCCCTGTAGGCCCCCGTCTAGAACCGCCCATGTTTACAGTGCTACGGTTTTGCACTAGCGACTGAAATGCTTCCAAAATTTCACTCTAAAATGACTCCAGCTCAATCAGAATAGATTACAAATGTGTGCAAAACTATGTTGACATTCTGCTAATAGGGAAAATGCAAATTATTCCAATTAGCAGCACTGCCAAAAAATAAGAAATACAATTAAAAACTGCCAGAGATGGGAAGTAACGAAGTACAAATACTTCGTTACTGTACTCAAGTAGATTTTTCTGATATTTTTACTTTACTTTACTACTTATT